CGCCAAACGGAGGAGGATCGAGGCCCAAGGGAAGGAAGCTAAAGGTACTTAAAGGGCACGCACATGGACATCCTATCGCCTGGGTTCGTCACCCTCAGCGGCACTGCAGAGGGGACGCGTCAGCATGTGGCGAAAGCTGGGCAGAAAAAAACAAAAGAGGAAGGTGTGATAGGTTGATGAGACCCCGCCATCCGGCAACAAGATCTCGTATCCATGAGCGAGAATCCGCCTGTGACGTATGGCAAACGGCGACTGCGAAATTAGGCAGGGGCGGGCACGCTGCAGCCTCGTGCCGCCCAATCTACACTGACGACACTGACGATGGCGTGTCTTGGCTCCCCTTCCTCTCGCCATTTGGACGCCACGCAACGGTCGTCGACCGCCCACTTGGTCGAATGAGCGACTTGGCAGTGAGCCCCACCCTCGAGCGCGCGCGTTCCGTCGAGCAGAGCAGAGGCTGCTCCGCCCACCGCTAGACCTCTCCTCCCGCCACCTCTTGCACCACAGCACTATCCCGTGCGCTACAGCGCCACGCTCGCACTCGCAAGGCCCACCACATCCGCGAGCCCCGCGCCGCCCATTTACATGGCTGCAGCACACCCCGCATACGCCCACACCCCGGCACACGGCCCCTTCCCAACGCAGACAAGACGCGCCAGAGCGACGAGCAACAAGAAAAAGGGTGGGAATCGAAGAACAGACGCACCCCTATTCCCCGCCGGCACCCCGCGCACCATGCCCAGCAGCGGCAGGCTCGTCACGCTGTCGATGCTCCCGCGGTGCGAGCCCAGGGCCGGGCGGTCGGTGTTGAACGGGAAGGACGACGGTGGCGGGAGCGGGTCCGAGACGGAGCGCATTGTTTGGGGCCCTGGCGCGTGGCTGGGAGGGCGTTAGTCAAGGGAGTGGAGGGGCGGACGGGGCAAAGGAACGAGGAACGACGCAGAGGTAAGGTGGGGAAGGGAAGGAGAGAGAACAGGAAAGTGAGGCAAAAAACGCACCCCTCGCGCTCGCGCTCTTCACGCGCATACTCGGCTAGCAGGGGCGGCAGCCGCGGGGGCGTCTGCGGGTCGGTCGGAGCGCGCACTGCGGTAGGGTAAGTCAGCGGTGATGCAGGCGTTGAGGGAAAGGATGAAGGGAAGGAGGGAAGAAAAAGAGGACGAAACGGGAGACACCTCGGTATGTCTCGCAGCCCCACCCGTCCATCCCCCGCCAACCCGCCGAGCAGGACATGATGCCCCTGGCGGATACATCCACAGAAGACACGTCAAGGCGGCGTGGATGCTCCCACCAGCACCCATCCCCGCTGCACCGTCTACAGGGTCGGATGCCGTCCCAGCGATGCCGCGCGTCACCAGCCCGCACGCATCGACCCGCACGCCACCGCGCCGCGCACCACACGCGCATACATGCGCCTCCGGTTCATCCGCGTATCGCGCGCGCGCGCTGGATCACACGCCGCGCACCGCCGCGTTCACACCCACTGCACATACGCGGCGCGTACATCCACCCAACAGCGATGCCTCGACCCGCGCGCCCACGCGCAGACATCCACTTCCAGCGCGGCTCATCTGCGTGATGGCGTTCGCACCAGCGCGTCCACCAGCGCTGCCCGTCGCTGCAGACATCCACCTCCAGCGCGACTCCGCGCACCGACATCATGACCACGCGCTCCCCACGTCTCCACCGCACGACCGTCCACGCCGCCGTCCTGGCCGTGACGTGTCGGCGCCGCTGAGATCCACCGCCGCACGGACACGCATACATCGACGAGATGCTCCGCACGATGCAACTCCATCGACGCATGCATGACGACCCGAGGGGCCTCGTCTCCACACACGCGCTGCACCATTGGCGAGTAGCTCGACGTGGTCCACGGCTCGCGCACACGCAGCGACACAGTACGCGCGTACACGCACCACGTCGCCCACAGCACGGCCACATCGACGCGCCGAGCTCGTCCAGCCCACTGCGCCTACCAGCGACGCCCGTATGCGCATACATCCACGACGCCGCCCGCATCCCACGTCCACCAACGACGCCCGTACGCGCGCACACACACCACCACCCCGGCGTGCACACACCACCGCACGTCGCGTCCCGCCGTCTACGCGCGCCCATCACCGCATGTACGCGCGTACAGCGACCGTAGCATCGCCACGCTCACATCGACGCGTTGATACCCGTGCACACCCCCGTCTATTGCGCATACCCCACGCTCTCCTATGCTCCCCGCCCACCCTCCCCCTCTCCGCCCCCCGCTCAAAGAAAACGATAAAAACCAAGAAAAGAAAGACGCACTCAGCTTAGCCCCCTCGTGTAATGCCGAGGCGGACGCGGAGCCCTTGAGCGCGCGGCTGCGGGCGAGGGTCAGCGGTGCGTCATACGTCGAAAGACTAGAAGAGAAAGAGAAGCAGGAGGGAGGAAAAGGAAGGAGGGACAGGGAGGCAGGCACGCAAGGGAGGAGCGGAAGGAAGTGGGGATAGATGGCAAGCAGAGAAGAAAAGAAGAACGCACCTCGCGCGCTTCCACTCCCCGTCGAGCGTCTCGCGCACGCGGCGGAACTCGGCGTCGAGGAAGCCCGCGCGGCGCGTGAGGCCCTTGAGGCGCGTCGCTTTCTGCGGGCGCGCGTCAGTATTCGGTGCGTACAAGGAGAAAACGGTGCGCAGAAAGAGAAGGGAGAAGGGAATGAGGGAGAAGAGGATAAAAAGAGACGGAAAGAGACAACGTGGTGGGGGTGAGAGGGGGGAGCGGTGAGGGAGGTGGGAAAGGTGGACGCATCCGCGGGGAGCACGACGCCAGTGGACATCGGTTAGGGATGGAGGGTACGCGGCCTCGAGGAGAAGGGCACACGAGCATCCCCACCCCCAAAGATTGGCTCGGCGGCGACACAACCGATGGATAGGGAGCGGACGCGACGCCGTGAACGCGGGAAAGCGAGTGGAGGGGAGGGAGAATAAAAAGCAAAAATGAAAATGGAATGAAAATTGCGATAAAAAAATCTCGCATAAATGCCGCAAGTATAAAGTAGCAGGAACGAAAACAGAACGCAAGACATACCGTCTTTCCTCGCCAGGACATGTAAAAGTCGACGACCTTGCGGCCCGCGTCGCCCGCCGCGCTGCGCGGGAACGCGAACACCACCGGCGGCAGCGTGCGCGCGTTCGCCTTGGGGTTTGAGTGCAGATCGCGCTCGCGCTCCGTCTTCTCGTCGGGCCTTTGCTTATCCGTGTCCTTGTCGGCATCGGCCTTGTCCTTGCCCTTCCCCTTGTCTTTGTCTGTTTCCGCCGCCGCCGCCTCTTGTTCTCTACATCCCGGTCAGTTGTATACACACCGGGTGGCACGACGTAGACGCACCTAACGAACCGCCGCGCAAAACGCCGCGCATCCGCGCCGCTGATCACGTCGAACGATGCCTCGTCGTCGTCCGTGCGCCTGCCCTTGCCACTGAGGAGCGACGCGGGCTTTGCGAACGCGCGCAGGAACTCGGGGCCGTACGCGGCCGCTGCTGATGACGCCGATGTCTCCTTCCCCTTGCCCTTCCGCGACGACTCCCGCTCCTTGTCCCTACCCCGCTCCCGCTCCCGCTCTTTCCCCTCCTTCGAGTCCTTCTCTTTCACAGATTTCTCCGAGCCCATGCGTTTGTTCGTTCGTTCGTTCGTTTGTCGTTCGTAGGCGGTGGAGCAGGAGCGAATAGCGCGGTTAGCTCGCCCAGTCTAGTATAGCGTGTCGTGTAGTCGTCGCCGCGCAAGCCCAATCGAGTCGTAGTCGTGGTCCCAGTCCAAGAAAGCCGAACAAAGCCCAACGGCGTAACCGACGACGGAAGGTGTATTGTGTGCTATTGCTGCCGTCATCGCAAAGGCCGGCGAGATCATGATGCCGTCGCCATAGGCTGCGTAACAGACAAAGACAAACCAGGCACCGCGCGGGCTGCCCCGGCTGCGTGCGCCGCGTTGGGCAATTCCGTCCCGGCTGGGCCCGACTTGCCTGATGCGGATGCATTCAACAGTCGAGCAGGTCGGAAATGAACTCTTTCGGGCAAGTTCAGACGCCGGAGGGATTCTAAACCCTGAAGGCTGCTGTAACACGAAACAGCACGAAACAGTCCCCTAACTGTAACAGCCCGGCGTTATTATTACTCTGTTGCTGTTACATCTGTCGGAATCTACCGCTCGTCGGCGTTCCGCCGCTCCCGTCATATCAGTCTTCTTTTTTTAACAAGATTCTGTAGGTTGCCACGATCTGCCTAGCCGATCTGATACCTGATAGCGGGGACTCGATCCTCTGCGGGATTCCGTAAGTATCGTCTTCTCGACGGTTTCCGTGTGATGGTTGGCTTCCGGTTTAAAACAAGACATCGCTAGCAGTTGGGATTCATGTTCATCTAAATCCTGGTTTAATGAAGGCGCGGACAGTCGAATTAATCGGGCGTGGTGTATGGAACACGGCGAGCATTCTTTCGTCAAAGAAGGAGAATATTCCAGTTTCGCAGTCCGGGGTTCAACTCCCCGCGTCCGAATATACGATAGCCGACTTCTTTTTTGCTCTGGCTCAAGCTAGACTCGCCAGCTATTTTCTTCCTCCCTTCACCAGGTTATGAAGAGGTGAATTAATCGGGCGTGGTGTACGGAACACCGCGAGCATTCTTACTGTTCTCATCATGAACTAACTCTGAATCGCAGTCCGGGGTTCGACTCCCCGCCTCCGAACTTCAGGGGTTGTATCCATTTTTTTGTTGTTATACCGAAGGCAAGCCGATCAGCTTTTGTTCTTGCTCACTTCACCGGGTTGCAAAAGGGTGAATTAATCAGGCGTGGTGTACGGAACACCGCGGGTATTCTTGAAGCTCTTAGCTTTCACAGAGGAAGTAGCTCGCAGTCCGGGGTTCGACTCCCCGCGTCCGAATAAATGGGCTTCCGCGACCATCTTTTTCTTTGGTCCTCAAGCTGGACTGGTCGGTTGTTTTCTCTCTCCCTTCGCCAGGTTACAGTCAAGTGAATTAATTGGGCGTGGTGTATGGAACACCGCGGGCATTCTTACTGTTCTCGTCATGAACTAACTCGCAGTCCGGGGTTCGACTCCCCGCGTCCGAACTTCAGGGGTTGATCCCTTTTTTTTGTTGTACCGAAGGCAAGCTGGACAGAGATTTTCTTCCTCATTTCACCAGGTAACAACCAGGTGAATTAATCGGGCGTGGTGTACGGAACACCGCGAGCATCCTTACTGTTCTCATCATGAACTAACTCGCAGTCCGGGGTTCGACTCCCCGCGTCTGAGTCTTTTTTGCCATGGTAGGGAAACTGTGCTGGCTAGTTAATTTCTTCCTCACTTCACCAGGTTACAAGCAAGCGAATTAATCGGACGTGGTGTACGGAACACCGCGACGCATCATGGATCGAGCCGACAGCATCCTATCTCGCAGTTCGGGGTTCGACTCCCCGCATTATCATGCGCCAGCTGCCCCATCATTTTTGCCCTGATACGCAAGCACTCATGCAGATGAGTTGATTTCTTTCCCATTTTATCAGGTTACAGCCAGGTGAATTAATCGGACGTGGTGTACGGAATACTCCGAGGATTCTTGCGGTTGTGCCATGCTTCAGAGTCTTGCAGTCCGAATATTCTGTACCACTCCCTCTTTTTTCTTTTCTTTTCTTTGCTCTGCTGCTCGAGCTGGACGTGGCCAGCCTTCCTCCCTTCACTTCTTTAGGAACACCGCGCGCATACATCCTCCTCTATCTGCAAGTCAATTTCGCCTCAACTACAGTCAACAGATAAACCAGACGGCAGAACTTCTTATCAGCCAGATCCATAAAACCAAGATTTCATTCCGAGACTGAGAAGAGGGAAACCGAGACTTCCTAGGAACAGCATATTGGAGATTTCAAGTCAAATAGAAAGCCGGCCAGAAGACCAGTCTAAAATTCCATAGAGTCACTGGGCTCCTCTTTCTTTATCGGCGCCTCCGCCTGGATCTGCGCATCCCAGAGAGCAGGGCCCACACCAGGCACCCAGTCACGGTGGGCGGGTCGCGCTCGATGACTGGGCCCCCCAGCGTCATGCTGTATCTGTGCCTCCCAGACAGCAGGGCCTTCACCGGGCAGCCAGTCCCCGGTATGCGGGTCACGCTCGAAGTCGCCGTCTTTGTAGCCGAATCTCCTCTCCAGCAGCTTTAACAGTGGATTCCGGAGGGCAGGGTCCATGCGCACAGTGTCCCCAGGCAGGTAGCTCCCCACGTGGTGTCGTGAAAGGCTCTCCTCAAAGAGTGCTTCTTCGTAGGTGCAGCCGCAGTTGAGGTAGCCGTCCGGCGCCATCCGCGGCGGGTACACCCGCCGTTCGCGCCGAGAGTCGTGCCACGCACAGAGCGCGTTGCCTGCACGGTTGAGCGCGCAGAATTGGCGGATGCGCGCCTCGGTGCGGGCCTTCCAAGATGCTTGGAAGCTGGTGGTTGCCGGCGCCGGAGTCGACGTGGGAGATAGAAGGCGCTCTATAAGTTCCGTATACCCTAACTCCAGACTCTTGTCCTCCGTGCGCTGGGTCAACCGCTCGAGCTCATGGACACGTTTCCGGAGGCGAAGAATCTCGGCCTCCCGCGGGTCGACTGGTGGATGGGTTGGAGCTACGCTTGACGGTGCGTAATTTGTAGATGTTGGAGGGAATGACTCCGGGAAAGTGGTTGTCGCAAACGGCGAGGACGGGGACAGCGACTCGGGCGAGTCAAGGCTTCGATACTGTAAGACGGAAGGGCCGACGACAGATGAGAGCGAGTGACTGAACGACGTCGTGGGGTTTCCTCGGCTGCTCCAGACTGACACGGGAAGCGTGGAGCGGAGCTGGCCATTCTCCTCAAGAAGCCGAGCATTTTCTTGCTCGAGTTCGTGTAGTTGCCGAGGACTAGCGACGCCCTTTGGCTTTACTAGGCGCTCTGTATTTTTTCCATGAAAACCCGCGTGGTCGCTGGTGTAATCATCAAGTTCAGACCCGGGGGAAGACGGGTGAGACATGTTATTATCAGCGTTGATCTTGGGACTCGGACTCGGGGATATGGATCGAGGAGGACTGTGCAAGGCTTGTTCCGTCCCCGTGGGGAATACAGGTTGCCCGGTGCTGTTGCTTGTGCTGCGGATTTCAGGGTCTTTTTTCGCCAGAAAAATGGTCCCTGAAAATTAGGGTTATGGTTAACTCAAACCGAATTACAGAAATGGGACCCACCATTGTCTTCTATCGCTACACATTGATCACATATCTGTTGCAGCAGATTCACGGGGTTTCCCATTGCGAGTTCATCGTCCTGAAGAAGGTCAGAGAAGGAAAGTGGCTATCAGCCTGAAACCCACGCATCGAAGAATATCACGCCAGTGATCGTCATGGCTCATCACAACTGTGGCATTTGGAAACTGGATAGAGTTTAATGTTGAAAAAAATATAGACTAATTAGAGTGATACCTGTGCGAGAAGATACGCATTAATCACTTGGGATGGGTGAAAAATCTGAGGGAGTTGAATTTTGGATCTGTTGCAGGAATGTAGTAGGAGTAACTCACAGGTGACGTTGGAGGGAATTCGGACACCATGACCCCGTTGGGATCCTCCCCTGGGCCTGTCAACTGTTTCCCTCCTTGTGCTCCGTTCCCTCCCAGAAAACCCAAGGACCAGGAGAATAAAAATCCCTGGGACGCATATGGGACAAATTCGTTGTTGGCGCGTCCCAGTTGTGAATCAACGATTTCACAAACTTCAACGCCTTTGAAAAGTCGCCCCCAGACACCTGTTCCCAGTGAAATCGATAATCCGTGTATGAAGAGCGTCTGGTTGAGAGGGCAGTCGTTAATTGGGAGGGATCCCGAGGCTTTCGTGATTGCGGGGCCGGAAGCTGTCCAACGATATCTATCACCGAGAGTGGGGTTCAATGAAAGCTGGAAAGCCGTCGGCGTTGTAACCTCCTGGAACGCAGCCATACCCCACGATCGCGACTTTTCAAAGCCAGTGACAAGATATAAAGCACCATTAGCAAGTCCGCGTCCCCTCTCGCCGTTGACATACTTGTACCAGTTCTCCGCATTTTTTGCTGCGTATCGTCGCATGTGTTCCATATTTTCTAGTTTTTTGAGCTGTGATCCATGTGGAAGTGCCAAGACTGCTCCTTGGGGCGCACTGCAGTTGAACGCAAAATTTAGCTCCGGAAACTCGCTGCCAAACGGAAAGGTAAGCCTCTAGCCGGAGATCCACAGACAACATACCCTGAGGAAGATTCGAGATCTTGCTTTTGGACGGAAGGGGTCGAAACATGACTTCCTGGCTCGAAATCCAGATGGACAATGTCTCTTGTAACGTAACGTTTCAAAGGGTAAAAGCCTTCCGGGACGTTCTCTGCATTGATGGGATCATCTGCATCCAGGTAAATGTTGAAGAAAAAATCGAATATTCCTTCCGGTGTGACTCTGCCGACATCGCCAATGGCGACACCTTGCCTCTGGTACTCTCGAGGAAGATTTCGCTGAGGACCAGGTACGTAAAGAGGAAATCCGCGACCGCGACGTAGCAACTGGCTGCAATAACTCCCGCTGTCGGTGTATGCGTCCCCCGATGAGTCCACGGAGGCATTTGCCGTGCCAGTCTACAGAGGACGGTGAACATGAGCGATAAACTACCAACTATACGCACCCCTGTAGATTGTTCGCGAACTGATGAGGCCGGTGAGAACTTTCTTACCCTTTTGAATAGGAGACTTACCGCCAGACGGCGCGACCAATGGATGTATGTTGATATTTCCCAGTACATTCATGAACTGCGATCCCTCGATACCGAAACCCGTTGCATTTTGAAAGAAATGTGCAGGACTGAAGATGAAATGAATTTCTGATATCGTACTTTGGAGAGCGTGTACCTCGGCGGTGCGATAAGGGCTTCGTTACTTGAGGTTGGAACGTCCTCCAGAACAGGCTCCATGGCTACTTGAGATCGTTAGGGATGAAAGTCGACGTCAAGAGGCTCTCGCAAGAGCTATTTGTACCTCCTCACCGCCTCTTGAGCTGTACAATGCTGTATGAAATGGAAGTCAGCTGCCGACAGAGAAGCGGTGCTGTGTGCCGGCATACGGAAACGGACGGCTGCTTTTTAAATCTCCGACCGGCATTAGCCGGTTGGTGATTTGTCCACTTCTGGAATCCATACTGGCTACCCTTGCTCTGCGTTGCTCTACATCTCGCGAATTTGCCGACCACGTTTTGAAGCGCCAATCATTCTCCCTGCCCAGCCAGCGAGCGACACTCACTCTACAGGTGACTTGCAGGTGACAGACGGTACCCGCAGACAGCTACTACTTATCGACGGACGACTACCGTTTTGCTCTCTTTGATTTGCTCCCATGAGTGACTGGCCCATGCTGCCCACGAGGCCTCCGACCGAGGGCAGAACTCAGGAGGAAAAGAAGCAGAAAAAGAATGACAGGAAGAGAATGCAGAAGCAGAGACGCGCAGAGAGGCGTGAATTGGAGACATCCGATGTCATGCCGACATCTCCAGCAGAGAATGACGCCGTCGCCACCCATGCTCCAACGGAACCTTCGACAAGTTCGTCGCCCACGACAGACACTTTGAAACGGCTTCCTTGGCAGTCCATTCTCGATAACTTTATGGCTTCATTGGATCATGGCACGCAAGAATTCATTGTCACGAATGCTGCCGATGGCACATGGGCAGACATTCCATCGCTCGCACTCCATAATGGATGGGACGCTGGGTGGAAAAGAGGTCGGGAGACGGGCATCTCATTCGGGAACGAACGCGGAAGGCGCGAAGCCTGAGGAATCGCAGTGGGTCGTGAAATGGGCGCACAAGAAGCGATGAATGCGCAACCACCATCACCGGCTGTTCGGGAGCTCTTGGACACGGGCATACAAACAGATGGCGTAGCCCTGGTCCCTCAGTCCACGTCGCTCTCGACGCGAATCCCCCAAGAGCTCATCGATGCCATCGTTTCCGAAGTGGACGACAAGGACTGCCTGAAGGCCTGCTCCGTCGTGTCCTCCAGCTTCCGAGGGGCGAGCGAGCGCATTCTTCTTAGCTCGTTGACGCTGAACGGCCACCTGGAC